CTTTAGCAACCGAATTTTTTTTAACTATCAATTTTCACGATCACTATACCGATTCCACGACCCGCATTCCCACGCAAATTTCGAGAGCCAGCAGGAAGATTACTTCGCGATATCCGAACGGGGTCTCGGCGCAGTTGTGGAGGGAAAGAGAGAAGGAAAGGTCCCATAAGCAGAGAGCAAGAGAGCGAGCTCACCCGCTGCGGTGAACAGTGAGAGAGGCGTGGCGGGAAAACATGCCGTCACAATGTTGGTTCAACTACACGACAATTATCGCCGGTGAGCTTTATAATTAAGAGACCTTGCCTGCGCGGCCCGGCATTTATCTAGCATCTCCGGCCTGCGCGTCCCGCGGCGACAATCCGGTCGGCGAGGAATGGCATGGACAAACGAGAGCGACGCGCTGGCGCTTTCTTTCGCGCGTAAAGCCACGGATGACGAGTCTGGTTACTGTAACCGGTACACGTGCATTCTTTCTTCTCACACAATGTGACTCCTTCCTCATTGACGATGACTGCGTGCTGTGACATTGTAGCATGTCGATCGGAATCGGAGCAGTACTCCGGAGACGGAGATTTGATGTATCAGCGGAACAATCACCTTCGTCGGAAAGTTAGTCGGATGATAAAATTATAGATTTGATGATGATATTGATATAAGGTAATTTAATAATATTTCTGCTTTATCGGAGCATACTAACATAAAAATAAAGTAAGTCTGAATTAACTAAATTAGTATTTGAATATTTCATAAACTGCAATGAATACTATAAAACTACCTTTTTATATTTTATTTTATAAAAGAGAAATTACATTTAAATATTTAATTAATTAATTAAATTAATTTGCATGATATTAAAATAAATTGCTCTCTTCTGCGATTACATTAAAGAAGATCTGAACACTTGTGGGTAAAATCTGTGTATGTATAATATTGAAATCATATATACATATATTTTAAAACATATATTTCAATATTTTTTTATTATAAAATCTAATTTTTAAAATAGCATTTTATACTGAGAGATCGAGTTTGATAGATATTGTTTAAAATATATGAAAAGACTAATATGTGTAAAAGTAAAAAACATAAATCGTGCAATAGTTTTACATTGTAACAATATCTTGTTCGGAGAATAAATTCAATTCTGCCACAGTCAGATGGAAACGCGATGATGAAAGAAAATGACCGTCGAAAATGCAGGGAAATGCAGAGAAACGCATAGCGTATCCAGAACACACAGCGGGAGTTGTCGGTGGTTGCCCATTGAAATTTCACCGTACGGTACAATGTAATTCGGGATTCGGGGGTCATCGTGTGACGCGTTAACGCGCTCTAATGCGCCCTTAACGAATCCCTTAATCCAATTTCGTGCAAAGTAACGAAATTATGTGCTGGCTGACCGGAAGCCGCGGCGGCGAGCTTCTCATTCGGCCCCTCTCTCTCGAGTGGCTTCCATTCACACCACTCGAGGACCAAAACGAATGTGTTTGGTCTGATCCCATTCTATTTCGCTGTAATTTCCAGAATGCCACTTTCAGCATACGATATATACGTTGGTTCATTAAAATGCATTTTAACAATGAATAAAAGAGCCAATAAAAATGATAGCGTTGTTGAATATAGAAGCTTACTATGATAGAGTTTGACGACCGACATTTTCTTCGTAACTAAAATTTTTTTCGCGAGATATTGGAATATAGAAGAGGTACAAGAAAATATTCTTATTTTATCAATGTATTGTATCATATTACTGTCTTTATATATGAATTAAAGTAGGCCATTCTTTTAGAATTTTTTTTATTTATTTATTATATATAATTAGAACTATTTTCTCTTCTTATTTCTCTACACATACTTTAGTATATACATACTAATTAATACATATTAAATATACCAATTTTTATTTTTGCTTTAGTTGCAATGATTTTGTGATTTATTTACTCATACGAGAGAAACAGGAATACGGTGATTTTTGACTTGTCAGGCAAGCTCGACCAGATTGACGTGAACCCGATGACAAATTCGTGTAACACACAGGACACATTCTTAACGACTGCAAGCGCAGAGATCTGTTTAACAGTCATGTGGGGTTCGGCCATATGTGGTGTCTGCGCGGCACTAAGGAGGATTATCATCGGGGAGATCCGTTATCTCGGTGGCACGCGTTTCCGTGTGGAATCTCTTGCTTCTCCTCATCGAATTCTCTCTCTCTCTCTCTCTCTCTCTCTCTCTTTCTCGCCAAATAGACAGGAGAACTCTCGCTTGCGAGCACGATCGTCTCTCTCTCTTTCGTTTCTTTCCCTCGTGTTTCCTCTATCTCGCATGCCCGTCCTGCTTTATGGTCGTGATAATAGAGATGTCATCCTGTCGGTGCTTTGACAACCCTATAACACGGGCGTTCGCGTAGCTTGTCTGTAACGTGGCGCTGTGCTCCCTAGAGATCTCGGAAACTGTCGTTGCCCACCGCGATTTTATACGCTATTCTCGATGGCTTTTCTCGTTTTGTCACATTGCGTGTTCGAAAATATGGCCGAGTATGAAGTATAGCGATACGCGATCACACGCGCATTTTTAACCTCGCGCCAACTATTGATTCATCTATCCTTATTTAACATTCATATATCATTTTAATATTGAATATTTTGATAATTAAAGCTTAAGTAAAAATTTTTGAAGAGTACAATTCATTTAAAGTTAAATTAAAATTGTATTTGTAGCAAATACGTTCATGAAATTACTCTAGGAAAGTTAGGATGCTTTAATTATCATAGCACATAGGATCGCAATCTGAGATATGAGTCTCAGATAAGATCATATATATGAGAGTTAATGCGATGACCAGGATGATCAGGATGATCGACACGCGCGGCCAAGTATTTAAGATCGCAGGGATAAGGGAGTCACGTGCGAGCAGAATCCGACGGGATATTTATTGAGAGCTTCTCTCTCTCTGTCTCGCCCTTCGTCATGTCGACAGCGGTACGATGTATTGCTTTTTAAAGGACTTTAAAAGCTGCCTTATCGGATCGTCGCCGAATGAATCGCGTCGTATGGTATTTCGCGTCGTGTGTTTTTGGCTCGGCCACTTTTCCTCTTCGCTGTGCCTCTCGATCTATATGCGAACATGGTGCAGAATTGCCGTTTGATCTCTCTGTGCCTTGCATTTCGCCATTGTGCATTGATATGTTACGACGAATCGTCGGAAACACAAAACTATGTGATATTTATTTAATATTTCGAATTAAATGATGTCAGTAAGTGTTTATTTTAAATGACTACATTTGAAATGTAAATGCTGCATTAGTTTACAGCAAGTTTTATAAAGGGACAAACACGTTGAATTCTCAATTCATCTCTATAAATTTTCTTTCCTTTTTCAAGAAGTAAAAGAAAGAGATATATATTTTATATCAGTTTATATATATATATATATATATATATATATTTATCAGTTTATTTATATATATCTTATAATTTATTATTTTATTTATATCTTTGGCAAAATTAATATTATATAAATTACTTTATAGATTGTAATACATTTTAAAATTAATTTATTATAAGAGAAAAGATGTTTAAAGTGTTGATTCTGTGCAACACAAAAATTTCTATTCTCATAGATTCTCTCCAAATAATTTCTCAGTGCGTTGGGAAAGAAATTACATAGAGTTTCCAACTACATTATTTCCTATATACCATTTATATATATACGTATATCTAGTTTATAATATAATTATAATCGAGATAACATAATTGTTTGCATTATGTTATAAGGTTGTAGTTACAGGGCTCCTGCCTATTACCGTATTTTTTTTTCGGGTTCACCGCGATTCCGTAAATTTGATAAGGTTCGGTTCAACATCCTGCTCGCGTCTCGCCCATGCGTGCCGCATGCGTGCTGCGCATGCACATATAAATACATATACACGTCGGGCGATATTACAAAATTATCGCAACGTCAATGTTATCGGCGCCGTCCGTGCAGAGTGGAGCGCGTAGATACACGGAGCGATATGCTCCGCGTGGCATAATGGAGCCGATCGGACGGCGTGGCGGACCCCCGCGTGAAATGCGAGTTCCCCATAGAATAGGTCTTGTTCCCCTCCCCCCTTCCCCTCCTCCTCCCTCCTCTTTCCTTCTCTCGTCCCTGTGGGGGCCACCGGTGCCCGAGATAATGCGATAACGAGCTTTACTACATGACTACCGCCGCTGCGCGTATTTGTTGCCGCGATCGATTCGCCGCGCGTTCCGGTATCCGCGCCGAAAATAAATCGCCGACCTGGTAAAATTTATTAAACGCCGTATAGCAGCCTTTCTGCACGTATTAACAGTGACCCTTTAATGTCACTTTTCCTGTGATCGCGATTCCTTTCTGTGAGGCGGACAAAAGATTTATATAGATTTATTTTACCGATATTGATGAATTTTTCTCAAGCTTCTAGTTTAACTGTCATTTTTCAGAGTTGATATGAAAAAGTAGAAATACAGAATAAATTCAAATCATGATTGAAAGTAAAATACACAAATTTTAAACGCGTAATTGTCTACATAATTTTTTTGAGTTTGTATTATTAAAAAGCATTATTAAATTTCTTATCAATATATTGAAGAACGTGCAAAGTTAATTAATTTTCAACGATCATAAATAAGTATTTCAAATGTGTATTTCTTATTAGAGATTTTAAGTATAAGCAATTCTTTATTAAAATTATTATTTTAATTGATAAATTAATGCATTTTAAATAAGTATTTTGTATATATATCTCCTATAAGAAATTTTAAATAACGCTTTATTTAAATCTATTAAGTGATTATTTTCAAGATATCTATGCATTTGAAACATGTTCATTTCTATCTGTAGAAAAAAAAAATTAATATGGTAAGTCATAATAGATTTTCACTTTTACGTATAATGAGCATTTTATCTACCGTCCTACCGTATAGGTAAATATAAAAGATTAAAGCAACTTATATTTATCATTCGCAGTAGATTTATGCACATGCAGATTTGCCTGAAACGCGTGTTAAGCATCTCTCGAAATGACGAAAGCGTCGTGGAGCGACGTGTGAGACGCGTAAAGTGCTTACCCCTGATGTGGGGAGGTATGTTGGTTGGCGCTACCTTGCGAGAAATCGCGGTGCCCCGCGTTTTGTAATGACCTCATTGTCGTGCCAACGCGTCGACGACGCCCCCCGGCATTGTCGTTTCCTGAGAACGTTTGACTTCGCCGGTGATTGCAGGGTGAATTTCTCGGGAGTTTGCTGCATTGTCGCGCGAGAATATGGAGGGAGGTGCTCTGCGGCCAGGGGAGGGGTGCCTCGGTAATAGTTCTTTCGCCTCTTATTTTTCTCTCTCTCTCTCTCTCTCTCTCTTTTTCCTCCCCTTTCCGATGCGCGTAGCATAGCGGACCCCGGCTAACTTTCCTGTGAAGATTTCAAATTACAGGCTCCAGAAACGGCGTCCCCGTCGTGGACCACGTGCCCCCCATCGCGCTATCGCGGAAATACGCGCGAGGCACCCCGTCTCGAAGGCGCGCTCTGTCTCGTTTTTTTTCTTCCGTTTTCTTTTTATTGTTCCGCGTTTCGCGATTTCTCTCGCGATATCTTTCATTCGGTTTTGCCGTTTGAGACCGCATAAGAGCATTGTTGCAAATCTCGGGGATACGTTATAAACATTTTGAACGACAAATGTTACGTTCGATTAATGTTGATCATATGATTTCGTCTTTTTAACAATACTGGTACTATACAAATGACAAGATTTATGTACTGAATATTTTATTTCTTGACAAGAATTACAAAGTTTTAACCGTTATAACACATGTGTCTACGATAACAGTAAATAAAAATAACTTTTTAAAGTGTTCAAAATCAAGATAAAGTTGAGTGACAGTAAAATATTTAACAAAATAATAAAATTTAAATGACTGCATAGACGAGACTGTCTTTATTCCTGAATATAAAGGTAATTATGCTAATTTGATCAATTCCAATCAATTAAAATCATATTTAAATGTATATTTTTTTTTAGTTGTAAAAAAATTCTACATAAAAAATATCATAATTGTATATCCTTAAATTTCTGCGAACATTTTTCTACTTATTATTACAATCAATGATGACAAAAATAATTGGAATTGATAGAAAAACTGCAAAAATATGCATTATTAACTGGTCGAAGGATGGAAACGATGTGCGCAAATATGTACGAGATGAGCAACCGAGTGAAAATCGTTGTGTACGAATCGCTTCATATCGTGTCATCGTATTATTTCACAAAATATGATCGTGACAGGTACTAAAAGATAAATTATCTAGTCATTATACAGTCATTAATAGTTTTATCTAGTCATTAACTCGACTGACATAATATTATGAGGATATTGGGATAAAGTTATCGATAATGTATGTATTAAAGAATTTAATCTATTGTTATACTTTTTATTGTTATCATGAATTGAGCTTTTTGAAATGAAATAAATAGTTTCAGTTTGCCAAGTTAATATTACGTACGTACGTAAATGTATTGCTAACAACACGTCATACGTTGTAAAATTCACTCGCGTATTTCTTTGACGACTATTTCACGCGAAGAGGTGATACTTTGAACTCGCCGACAATTCTTTCGAGATCTTCGTTACGGCTCGTTTCACGAGTATCTGTGCGTATATGTGTACAGCTGAGAAAAAGAGCTGCATATATGCTACGGGAAGAGAAAAGAGGTCTCTCTCTCTCTCTCTCTCTCTCGACTATCCTTATCGTTTTGCACGAGATATTAAACGAAATGCACTTTTGTCTGCCGTTCATTATCGCGACTGTACAAATCAGCGCGCGAATATATAAATATTGTTAATACTAAGTAGTAAACGATCATTGATAATGCTTTTGTAATATGATAAAAATGTCTGAAAATGTATGAAATTTAAACATGAAAAATCTACGATTTTTTTTAAAGTTTAGTGATAATAGTGATGATGATTTGTTACTATAATGCTATTAAAGAGATTAAGTTACAAATATTATTTCAAGGTATTATATATTTAACTACAAAACTTGATGTACGATATTTCATCTTAGAATATATGTTTTAAAGGTAACGTAACACACTCTCTCTCTCTCTCTCTTTATCATGATAGAGTTCAGTTGAAATCCAAATAGAAAGCACTTGCATATTTATAGTAACATTGCCCATAGCTTAAGAGAAATGCTGGATGGACCAACTCGATCTTGGATGTGTAAAAATGAAACATTGTTTTGAACTTAACTCTGTTTTCGATATGGTACTTGTAATCCTTTCACGAATTTAGAACGTGCTATTATAATATTGACTCGCACGTCTCTATGTGCAATCGAAAACGTCTTTGCTAATTGCTAAAATACGAAACCGAACATTTTCTACCATTACGTGGGAGCGTTAATCCGTATTGTTTTTTTTTCCAGTAGATCGTGCGCAAACGTGAGCCGGCGTGTAAAACAGTCCGAGAGAAAGAGTGAATGTGACGCGATAGTATGTTTGTCAGAGCGACAGAGATAGAAAAAGGGAAAAACAAATTAAAGAGAGAGAGAGAGAGAGAGAGACATAGATATATTTGTTTGTGAGATGAAGAGAGAGAGAGAGAGAGAGAAAAAAAAACGACGAGGGAGGACGCATCACGTTCGCATTCGGGCTCGCGCGTGTGCGTCGGGCGTTTTTAATGCGTGTTACCCGGCGGAACCGCAATCCGCTTTTGCGGCGGACGCCGGTGCTGTCCGCAGCCCACCAGTTGGCGGTTTCCGGTAACGCGCTTTGGCGCAAACCAGCAGGCACACGCCTGATTTCGAAATTGCAAAACATTTTCACACTCTTGTGATTCCAACGCCGCCCGACGGACCTTCCCCTCCCCCCCCCCCCCCCCTCGTCCTCCGTCGCCTGCCTGGCCGTTTGCGCGCGCGGTGCCACCTTCCGCTCCCTTTGCGTTTTCCACATTTTTTTTCCGTTTTTTTTTTTCCATACACGCTTGCACGCACCGCACCGTTTACAATCACGCGTTCTCCTAAAACGCGCTTCGCGCGCCCGAAAGGCACGCGTCATCGCCGCGCGAAAACGCGCCGTGTTCACCGAATGGCATCACGCAACGAGTACTCGGATCTGTGTAACAAAAACAAAAATCTCGTCTTTTACGTACAGTTTAGAAATTTATATTAAGAAAAATTCAAAATAAAATAGTTATATATGCTCATTTTCTGAAAAAAAATTTACCCTTTGTCGATGATGCTTCAAAGAAAAATTATGTCATTATCCGCATTACCCCTTTATCTTAAACGCATCGAAAGATCTATGTCCAAGTACACATTTTTTTCTTAAGAGTATTAAATTAGATGTACTTAAAAAATTACAATTTTTTAGTTTTTTTTTTTTCATGTATAAGAGACTCTCTTTTCTTCCGATATCCTTAAGTCACTCAATCAATATATTTGATTATCTTCTAATTTTTATTTCTCTCTCTTTTTCTTGTTCTCTAGATTTTCAAAAATTTTCACACCAAAGTACACATCATTGTCAAAACTTATTGCAGCGAAATTTATTACGCGAAAAATTCGAGCGCGTCTACTAATGAGAATGCAAATGACATATCATTTGTACGTTAGCGGCTCATTTTAAACATATTAAAGAGTTCGATTGAGAAATCGTTGCTAGAGCTTTCCCGGTAGTTACCCCGACGCTCATCGATGCCCCGAGATTGCGCGTTTAATTGTGAAGCGTTTAACCAGCATCGGCCCGCGGCGACAAGGCAGAGAGGCAAGAGCAATGCCAGGGAGGCGGAGAGTGTGCAGTCATTAAATTATTCCGGAATGTGAGCCCGATGGGTGTCCTTGATCGGTTCGACTCTGAAAGCAACTCGGCCCGCGTTCGACAGAAGAATCGGAACCGGAACATCTGACGAGAACTATATAGCTCTTTCGCACGTGTTAAAACGCTGCATTGATTTTTTGTTTTATTTTGGCGCAACACCCGTTTCATTATATCCCGAATGATCGTATTTATACTAATAAGCTTGCTCAAAACTAGTTCAAGATGAAAAAGAGGGGGAAATATTTTATTAAATATCGATTGTTTGTGATTTATGTTAGCAGAATCGAATAGAAGAGAAAATAAATGAAGAGTTTATTTTGAACTAATTTTTTGTAGATGAAGATTTTATTATACATATATGTTACATTATTTTATATGATTGTTTCTAAATTTATTCAATTTTTGTTTTAACTTTTTATGATTTTTAGCATATTTTTATACTAAAATTTTAGTTTTTAATGAAAATGTCAGTTTTAAATAAATTTCTCAGACCTCAATTTCTGTCCGCTTTCAAAAAGAGCATTTTCACAAAGATTTGAAACAATATATTATTAAAATTGTGATACAATCTGATAGAGAGTGGACATTTCTATATAAATATATATATGTCAGTATATATCTTTATTTTAAATTTCAGCTATGGACCAAAGCCAAAAAATAAAATAATATATTGATTTTGATATTTTTTTCTGTTATCACGAATATATATTTTGTCAGAGAAAATATTAACGCTGGTTAATGATGCATTTTGGACGCAATATTTTATTGCGGCACGTGCAGCATCTCGAGGCACACCCCGCAGGAGGAGGCCGGGTCCTCTCGACCGGGTCAGGGGGTATACGACTCGAATCAGTGACTCCGAAAAACGATCCTTCAGTGCGCGGCGAACGCGAGCGTGTCGGCAAACAAAATCGGTCGGTGGAATGCCATCGGCGGCTGCAGCGGGCAGTAGTCGAGGTTCGCTCTCTTCGTGATCGTTGCACGCGCGTGCACGCGCACACACACGCACACACAAAAGCCTACGGGGGCTGAACAAAATGCAAAAACGTCAGCGGCAAGATCCTCGAATGATTTTTCGAACGCGCAACGAGCCCGTGAGCTGCCCCGCCACATGAAACGCTTCCGCTTCCGCTTCGCCGTTTCGGTTCCGTATCGGCAGCGGCAAATCGAGCAGCGATATCCCGATAAATAACGGCGTATTTTCGGCGTACGTTGGCAAAAAGGTTTTTGCGCATCGTCGGCGATGCGGAAAAAGCGCGTCAGACACGTTAGATCTGTCCAATTGTGCCTCCTCCTCTGCCGATATGTATCTCTTTTGCCTCTGGAAATCGTAGTCGTTAGCGGTACGCACGATTATCGATATTCCATGGAAAACCATTGGCGGCTAATTATCACTACAAGGGAGGAATCTGCCGTTGCCCCCCGGCACCGTTCCAGCCTTCCTCCCGTCGATGTGAAATTATAATCGAACAATTATAATTAACGAAATAACGCGATATCGTTCGATGCGATTTCCATAGTTTGTTTCATGTGTAGCAGCTACAAAGCATCATACTGTAATATTTTGAACTGATTAATTTTATTATTCGGAAATATTGCATTGTCACGTTTATCATTATATATAATGTAATTCTCGTTTTATATTATATATATATATATACATATATAGGCCTACAAGGGAGGAATCTGCCGTTGCCCCCCGGCACCGTTCCAGCCTTCCTCCCGTCGATGTGAAATTATAATCGAACAATTATAATTAACGAAATAACGCGATATCGTTCGATGCGATTTCCATAGTTTGTTTCATGTGTAGCAGCTACAAAGCATCATACTGTAATATTTTGAACTGATTAATTTTATTATTCGGAAATATTGCATTGTCACGTTTATCATTATATATAATGTAATTCTCGTTTTATATTATATTATATATATATACATATATAGGCAGAAATATTTTTAAAAATGTTTAAAGTATCAATAAAAAATATTTACGCACTCCTAGCTTCATGCAATCTTCGGCGCCGTTTATTGCGGCTAATTAGCACAGTAGTTGCCCTTTGACTCGATTAATAACAATGATTGCGCCCAGCGATATCCAGCCACGTGCTGCGTCGCGTTTCCAAATTTGTTCTACGGGGAGCTTACGCGGTCGTCGTGCCAACCGGTCTTCGGTTCGATGCGGAGGGAAAAAAAAAAAGGAGAAGAACCCGGGACGAGAAATGGCAAGGAGGGAAGGAGGGAGGGAGGGAGGTTCCATGAGGGAGACAGAAGAGGTGATTCGTACCATTTGGCTCGGCTTCGACGTCGGTTAACGCAGCAGGGTTACCGCGGACGCCTCGACGGACACATTGAGGGCGCCCGCTCGACTTGATAATCGCTTGCTATTCATACACTTTTCATTGGATTGCGATTGAGCATTAAGAAATTGGGAGAGAGAGACCCGGGGGCTACGGCGCGCTCTCTGCGTCGCGCCCAGGCGACGTATTAGCATTAGGAGGCATCATCTCGAGTGTAAACACTGCATGGGCACCGCGGATTTAGTCACAGTCGAGAACCGCGGGACGTCCCCGATATTATCGTCCCTTTTTACGTTTCTCTACCTTTGGCGTCTCTCTGCCGTACCCTAGTAGTAGTCGGTACCCGTCTCGTCAACGTGTGTCGGAGATCTATTCACCTCTTCAGGATTTGCTTTCTTTTTTTTTTAACTTGGAACGATTTCGACGTAATCTACTTTTAGTAAGATTTAAATTATACACGTAAAAAGACATAGGTTTTTATTTCTTTATTATTAGATTTATAATAAGGCAAATATTACACACACATATCGTTGGGAAAAATGTACGTACAATATTATTATGAGAAATATACAAGTGTGCACATTTTTAAAAATAGAGAAACCTTACATTAGTATATATGTATATCTAAATTTAAGATGAGAATAATATTTTAATTTAAGCATATATTTACGAAAACAAAATTTTATTAATCATGTATATTTTACATTTAAAGTATTCTTAAAACAATCTTGCCCAACGAATGCCATTCTATATACATCCCTACGACGAGATCGACCTGAAGATATCATCGGAAAGAACTATTTTCGGGAGAGGATTTGCCACAGAATGCTGCTGACATAAGGAGTTTTGTCTCATACAGAGGCGAAGAAAAGAAAGCGGTTTGTCGTTGGCCTTAACCGCGAGATTCACGGTTAAAGCCCACGAACGACGGACGTCGTCCATGATCCCCTTTATCCAATCCGTGAGGATCCGCGGGGCGTTAAATCCCTCGGGAAAAAGCTCAGCGTAACTGAGCTCCCGTTCGGGCGCGCTCTAAGTCGGTCAGCTCGGTCCAGCCGAGCGAGAGGATCACAATACTCGGCTACGTCTATCTCTCCGCTCGCGTTTCCCCCGCGCAAGCTTTTCCCGTGAAAATTAGTTACGCGAGAAATCCATGCTAATGTCGGCTAATCGGCCGTAATCAGCCGTGAGAAACGACGACTGTCACGGAGTCGACGTGCCCGCAAAATCGAGCGACGAAAGGGAGAAGAGATTTTCTTTTTCTTTTCTTGGGTTGCGTCGCTATTCGATCGTGACCATTGACACGCAATCAAGCGTAGTCGTGTTGAAAGCGAGAGATTTCATTTTTTTTAACGTTTTCGTGCAGGTTGACAGATGAAAATGTAAGTAAGCGTGGATATTGATTTGACTTGTAGAATTATAATGAGTCGAAGCAAATCTTAGAAAGTTTAAATTGCAATTGTTGGATTATTATTAATTTGAATCGTATTTGAAGAATTTGTGTGTGTAATGCCACTTAATTTAAATCTTTAACCTATTATATCAGTATTGGTTAGGAATCTTAATTTAAAGAAATTTCTTTTAATTTAGGGGAACAAAAATATATCTGATATATACAAGATATATATCTTGTGATAAAAATTGTACTTACATGTTGCGATAAAGAGAGAGAAATATACTATCACAAATTCATACAATTATATATACATATGGGGAAAAAGTTTCAAAAAAATGAATTGAAAAATTAGAAATGTTTATTGACATTAATTGTAATTGTATTATAAATACTTGAATTGATTTTCTCACGAGTTTTCTTTAACTTAGGGATAAACAAGAGGCTGAAGAACAACCTAGCGGATCCACTAATAATGAAGTTTATGATCCCCACTTGAATCGCGTCACTTATAAACCAGTATCGTATGTCCATTCTCGTCGATTCGTTTGTCTAGTTCTAATTTTTATCAATATTTCTTTTGAAAAAAATCTCGCTTAATGTAATTTGCTAATCGGACATTTTCTTAATTCTCTCTTTATTTTATCTATCGATACTATTTTGGTACTAGTTATATATTATAAAGTTATGAGAATATTGCATATCTTATTTGTGTGTGTTCTCTCCTTATAGAGACTTTAATACTTTGGCAAACCTAGTAAAAAGCGCGGCCGGAACGGGTCTGTTCGCCATGCCGAACGCATTCGCCTGCGTCGGGCTCTTTATCGGGATTGTTGGCACGGCGTTTATGGGATTGCTGATAACCGGGTCCCTTCAGTTGCTCGTTAGAATCCACCATCTGATGTGCACCCGTGTGAGAAAACCCGTCTTGGTATATGAAGAGGTGGTGGTCGCCACTTTAACCACGGGTGCGCGAGAGCCGTGGCTCTCCGCGCGCGCTGCAACGTTCGTAATTTCAGTATAATCGCGTTATTTCACTCCGGATACTCCTTGCGGCATAACAAACGCATATTACGCGATGTTAATTTGATATCTTACGTTTAATGAATTAAAATATGATCAAAACATAATCACAGATGCAATTATTAAAATTTTTTTTTAATATAATTGTTAGAATATATCGAGTACACATAAAGGAACAATTATATAACATGATAAGCATATTAAAACTTTTTAAGACAAAGGCTTTTTAAAGAGAGAACGGCCAATTTTTATTCATTTGCAGACTCATCGTCGATGTAACGATGTTAGCTTGCTACATCGGGATCGGTTCGGTTTACGTCGTATTCATTTCCGGTATAGTCCAAGAATGCATAGACAGTGAAAAAGTCATCGGACAGAGTTACTATGCACTTATGCTATTCCCACTTCTTTTTATAATGAATATGGCGAAGAATCTGGCGGACATCGCGCCGATTTCTATTGCGGGAAACATCTTACTTCTCGCCGCTGGAGGTATTGGAATCGTTTATGCATTGAAAGACGGGATTGGCGAGGCATGGACTACGATCGGACCGAACATAAATTTATATCCAAAATTTATTGGCGTGGTTTTCTTTAGTATGTGTTCACCGGGCGTGGTAAGTCTTTAATTTTTAAGAATAAAATTAATTTCTTGGAATTAAAATTAGATTTTTATCTTTGCATTTATTCAGAATTATTCGTACCGTTTTGTTCTTAATGATTGCATCTGTGAGAATAATAAATACGATCTTTGCGTCTCTTAGATATTGGCGATAGAGCATAGTATGAAAAAGCCCTGGAATTATGTTAAATTATGTGGAATATTAAATTGGGGCATGATATTTTTGGTTTTGATACACATTTTCGTTGGATCTATTGGTTATTTAAAGTGGGGACCCGATGCACTCGGCAATTTTATCCGTAATCATGAGAAACTTGATGGGTAATATAATCTCTTTAATTACACCAATTATTTTGTGAATGAATACGGAAGAAATTATCCCTTATATGATTAATACATTAAGTTATTTGTATAAAATGTCATTTAACTCGATTTTGTGCTCTAACGGAATCTATATTTTTTTCTCGGCATAGAAAAATCTATTTAATATCGAAAATTGGAAACTTATAAAGAAAGATTATCCGATTAAATCTTCCGCATAGGAAACAACTATAAATCCATCAAAGAATGTCTTTATAATATTTTATTTTATTCATTTATTTATATTGCATATTTTTTGTAGTTTCTGTTTTTGTAAATTCTTCTTATTTACATTAGGTTTAGAAACAGTATGTCTTTGCCGCCACGTTATCTTTTGATGTGCAATTGTAGTTCTATAATTTTTTATTTATAATTATTCTAATTTTCTATATATACATTTATTATTTAAAATAAGGTGGTATTATTATTATTATTATTATTATTATTAATCTATACTTTATATTCCATTGGCTTTTTTTAGAGCGACGATCGCGGCATTGATAATGCAAGCGTTGGCAATATATTTTACATATGGGCTGCAGTGTTACATGCCCATCACGATTCTAAAGTACGGCTACGCTATACCAGCCATTGAAAGTGGTGCCTGGAAAGGAACACCATTTCTGTGGGACTTGATTATTCGTTTTGGCATCACGCTCGTTACGTGTAAATGACAGTTTCTCTTTATATTTCCTTCCGCTCTCTCTCTCTCTCTCTCTCTCATATCTTCAAGATAAACTCGACCAAATTCGATGGACCGCGATGGATTGCATCTCCCTTTGTGCTGGAGCGACCAACTTGGCGGAATCGATCAATCCGTCCACGATTACGGTCCGCTTCTCGGGACCCAGATATTACTAAAGTTCAGGAATCCACTTTCACGGAATTTGATATAGATACTCAGTTTTGTCCAAGTCTTATTCGATCGGATCATATTTCTGGATACTTTGATCATATAATATACTATCAACGATATTCGCTACGTTATTGTTTCAATTCGCTCTAATTATGATAACCAATACAACTCTATTTTTAATATCTTGTGAATAGAAATTCTTTGAAATACAGCGAAACCCTTATATTTTTTGTAGGCATTTTTGCAGCGGCGATTCCGAAGCTCGATCTGTTTACCGGCTTAGTCGGCGCGATATGCATATCCACTTTGGCCACATTAATCCCGGTCACTTTATACATTCTTGTACATTATGAGGATTTCGGAAAGTTCAGATGGAGACTGATTTTGGGTGTCTCCATGTTTTCCATCGCTTTTATCGCGGCGATTTGCGCCGTCGTGACTAATATCACCTTAATCGTGGAGTTTTTGATACATGGGTATGCGCACGAGAAGTATAATTATAATTTATAACATTAAAAATCTATAAACGTAATTTTATAATGAATTAGAACGGTGTTTAAATTGACGTAAAAGCAAGTTATAACATTACAAGTAGATAAGTATGTCAAGCAAGTGTTTTTTGGGAATGGTTTAAGACGAATTTGAAGAACTTAAAAATAAAGTGGCTTTTACAAATGCTTTCTTTCTCATCTGAAACCTTGACTATGGATACATACATATATGCATATATACACATATATATGTATATGTATATATATATTTATTTTTTATTATTTTTTTATTTATTTATTTGGACATTTATTTGAACGTGAAAGGAATAATGAGATGACAATCTTTTTATTTTTTTCAGAGACTAAAGTCACAACGACAAAGGGGTTATCTTAATCTAGTCTCTGTTCGTAATCTGCAGCCTGATGAAAATACCGTCAGTGTGCGCCTCGTAGTGTTTTTCTCTTTTTTTTACTTTTGTCTTCGGGCGCGGTTGTAAAGCCGCCATCGTTTACGCGCGATTCAGCCTAATCACGGCAGCTGCGGCGGCGGCGACGGTGAGGCGACTGGAAAAACCGCGAAAAAGGCGTGAAGCTCGTGAAGGACAAAAAGCGAGGAAAGCGGGAAAAAAGGAGAGAGAAAAGAGGGAATATACGGCAAAAGAGGAGAGAAGCGCGCCACGTATAATCGCGTCAGATCACCGAGGCGTCAATGGCTGCTACTGGGCTTATCACACATACACATACACACACGTGAGGGACGCAATGATAAAGAGGGAGACACACGTGGAAACTGGTAGACACGTATCGACACGGCGAATGCACGATTGTGTAGGTATATGCGAAGGCCAGGGGGACGACGTTGCGCAAATGGCAAGAGAAAGAGAGAGAGAGAGAGAGAAGGAAAGAGAGAGAAATAGGTACCCTCTCTCTTTCTCTCTCTATCCATGGGAGAAGGAACCAAAGCAGAGGCGGCGGCGTCGGCGCGAAGAGAGAGCCTCTATACAGCGGGACACGGAAGGGTGCTTTCATCATATAGAGAGGACACAACCCCCTTTTAGTGGCTACCGTCGCGTCCCCGTTGCCCCCCACATCTTAACCTACCATATCCTCTGTCGCACTTCGGGGGCCGCCCTCTCTTTCTCTCTCAGATTCGCCCTTACAGACTGCCTCCGCCTGGCCGCTCATCCGTTTGCCAGTTCAAGGTGGCTGCGTTCATTACCGGAGGATACACCGGGTGTGGTATGGGTCTCTACCGAACCCGTCGACGGCTTCCCTCGTGCTCGACAGCCAGTCCCCGAGAAAACGTCCCGTTTAATAATTATATCGATGAGTCGCCAAGGACGCCGCACCGCTTACGACATTGTGCGAATTGTGAAATTCGTCGCAAAAAAAACTCAAAATTATCGACAAATATTTATGCAAATATAATTATGTCGAGATTTATAATTTCACGATACATGTAAAAATTGCAGGCGGGTATATTGATTAATCTTACACTATAAATTATGCACATACATAATTTAATAATGTTAAGATATATATATATATTTTTTTTTCCTTTTTTTAATCATATAATAAACGAGATAAGATAAAGATATATAAAACTATGAAATTTGTGCTATGAATTTAGTTTTATAAATGCAAATAGAGATTAAGACTCTATTTAGTGATACTTTGCATCGTATATTTGCATAAACTGCTACACCTGTTGGAACATATGCAAAAGCAATCGCGAGAGCACGTGAAAACACGTGGAAATATCGAAGCAAAATTGGACGAACACGTGCGTGTCTCTTTCATAAGTAACGATCGACCAATCGAGAGACACACTGTCACTGAGATTTTTTCTTTCTAATTGGAAAACGAAAGAAAGCTATTCCCGTGCATACGGAGATTAACCGACCGCACGAGCGCACGTGCACTTAAACAGCCGCTAATTGCTAAACCGAGGGGGAGAGTCGCTATTGAGCGTCTCATTCCGAGTTTTCCGTTCTGTTAGAGGGGAAAGTATATTTTCTGCAAAAGTAGATAGTTACTTTAAAACCCTGTTGTTATCAGAAGTGAGAAAGCCGGCATTTTTATATATGGGATAGTATTAAAAATTTTACTATAAAAATAAGAATAAAGTATATTTTCGATATATCTTAAATAGTATACTCTTGAAAATTCATGCTCTGTTTTATCTCAACCAATAGTTCACCTATCTTGGAATTAAAGAAAAAAATTACAATTAATATAATATACTTTCGTTTTTGTTACATAATAAGATATTTTTACAAATTAACAGCAGAAAAAAAATTAATATGTACTAAGAATGCGATTTTGTACAGTAGAGAAAAAAAGAAAAACGAACCTCAAGATATAATACTCTTTTTCTTGCACAATTTCAGCGTGGATTAATATAATTTAGCTATTTTATTTATTTTTAGTTTTTTAAATATTTATAAACGGAACCAAACGATATCATTGCATTTTGTATATTATTTATACGAATATGTGTAAATAGAGCCAACTACATGTACATGTGTCTTTGAAGGCACACATGAGCGTATTCGTGTTCATAGATTATTCCGCGACGACGTCGACGTCGGCAAGTTTGTGAGACTTCGCAGGAAACTAACATGACGAGCAGAAGGAAGCCGCGTAGGAAGCGAAACGGTCGAAGGAGACGGATGGTAAGACAGGATAAGCAGATATTAACCGAGTTCATGGCGGCCAAAAGGGGGAGAGGGATGATGAGAGAGGGGGGAGGGGGAAAAAGGGATACTCTGCGTAGCAACCAGAAGGGGTTTGCTCGCGGCTTTCCTTCCGTCGTGGATCTACCACCCTCTCTCGTATGCGAGGCTAAGGTGGAGGTGCGAGCGCCTTAGCTGCCGCCGTTTCTCGCTATCGGAAACGGGGAACCGGGGACTTCCCTTATCTCGAGTCTGCAAGACTGCCTCCGGTAATACCGTGCGCTGTAGGAAACCCTTACGAGCGACGAGAACCCCGTGAAATATCGTTAAACGGCTTGGTACCCCTTTCCTACCTACCGCTTCCACTTCGATCTTCCACGAGCGACGATCATCCACTCCGAGCCTTTTCGAACACTTCGCACCAACGATCATCTTTCTGCTGTAACTCCCTTTCCTCTTTCCTCCCTCCCCTTTCCGACCTTCATCGCGGAACGATATCCACTCTCACCGGCGAGATAACGCATATTGCGCCGATGACAATGGACGTCACGCGCCCCGTCAGATACCAGAGTATCGTATCGATACCAGTTCTCCCGTGTTTAATGACAAGCGAACCTCATATATTTTCGCATACAAATATCGATAACATAAGGAAAGTTCTATTTTTTAGTAAACAAAAGTTTGCTTTTTATAATCTTTTATCATGTGATCTTTCTTTAAAGCTGAATTCTTGATAAGACTTAACAATTAATTTTCTTGTGACATGGTAACTAATTTGATGTTAAAGCACGACTAAATGAATATATTATGTCCATGCTTTTACAATAATAATATTGATAATATTCTCTTCTGTCTTAGTCTTTTAACTTTTCTAATTTTCTTAGAGCTATTATTATCGATTATCTATGATTCATGGATTTCAGGATTGTCAGCTACAAATTTAGATTTAGGCACTGACTGGCATCTCTTTGCGCGAAGTTGGGCGGCAAGAAAACGGCACTGCCGAGGAAACGAACGAGCGCGCTTCATTATACGCGACGCCGACACGCTTCGTTTGTCTCCGGAAGTTGTGCTTCAGGAGGGATGACGACGACAGCGAGAAGGGGAACGAGGAGAGAGGACGAGATGCGAGGAAGAGGCAGAACAGAAGGGAGAGCGAGGTGTAAATGGGAAGTCGGGGCGGAAGGGGACGGCTTGAATTAATACAATCACGCGGGGGTGGCTCACCACTCGCAGTCCGTGGCAAGAGGGTGAGAGGCAACGAGAGATAACCACCCCTTTGCTTGTCATCGAAATTATACGCTGCCAACACTCGACCTCGTTTACCATGCCGACTTTCTCCCTTCCTCTTTCGTCTTTCGCGCGGCCTGTCTTACTCGTCTCTCGTCTTTTCTCTCTCTTCTTCTTCTCGCTGTATATTCCAGATTTTCGGCATCCAGAGAATAGTCGTATATTAAGACAACTAATTGAGTTACGAAACGAGGGGTCAAGTGTATCGGTAAGTAACGAACTGTACGCCAATTAATATGATTAGCAAAGTTCTTATTGTTTTAGTAAAGTTAGGTTGCTTTTCATCCTTCAGATTCTTCCCCCCTTCCCTCTCGATTTTATCAATTTTAGCCATTTAAGGGACAGGTCTTCTAAACTGCAAAAAATATATTATTCTTATTTAATGAATTTAAATATATATATGTATAAATCTGATATTTTGCATGTAATGCGTATTAGCAAAAAATTTGTAATAATTAATGCCAATTTAAAAGTCTTAAATATTACTTTAAATAAGAATTTTTGATATTTCTTTTAAAACGTTTAAAAATATTATCACAATTAAAAACGCTAGTTATCGCAATAAATATTTCTTATATATTTGTATTTATTATTTTCACACGAAAAAAAATATAATATATATATATATATATATATAATGTTTTTTTATTATTATTTTATTTAAAAACTATTTAAATAATTATTTTTGAAAATCCATGCATTTCAGATATATTCATTATTAAAATTGTAAGATCAGACACAACAATTTGTCCGGAAATATTTGTAAATTTTTAAAAATTAATATTCTCTTTAATTATACATATTTTTCACTTAACACATAGTGTAAAGTAAGTAAAAAGACTTATTGATTTTAGACGCCAAGAAAAATCATCATCGCGACTCAGTGTATTTCTCTGGAGCGTCGAAACTGATCGCGCTCATCTTGCGGAAATCGAGAGAGAGTTGTGAGTATGGAAGAAACATTTTATTCCCTGTGGAAGCGCGCGGAATCGGGTTACGGAGGTTTTTAATAAAATCAGGCGCCCGGCGAGGCGTGTCAAATGGAAATATGCAC